AGTGGAAGAGGCTAGAAGTTTTCCATTCATGCTTTAAACATCTCAGCCCTGCAGCCCTTTTCGGGTATCCAGCCAAGGGATGAAATCTGGATAAGACAGTCAGAGTGCAAGACCTGTAGGTGCTTTGATTAAGCTCCTAGGCTCCCACAGCAGGATACATATGGTCTCTGAGACTGTGCAATCCTCCTTACACTTCTGCCTGCTCTTTTGTTTTGAAGGGCAGAGAGTTGATTTCACTCATTTCCGTTCTCACCACTGTGGTGAAACCACCACATCTGTGGTCGGCAGGGTCAGTGTTCCCCTCCAGCAAGAGCGCCCTGACTGGGAGCCCGGACTTTGCAGGTGTCCTGCTGTGCCTCATCTGCTTCCTGTTTGCACCCTCTTCGAGTCGGCAGAGAGGGCCTTCCCAAGGCTCGGTCCCTACTCCTGGCTAAAGGGGCCTGCTGCCAAGCTTCACGATCCCTAGGGAGAGAATGCCCTAAGGGAGCCCCTCAGGTGATGAAGATGACAGCATCTGGCAGGTAGAAGACCACACTTCACACATGTTTAGGCAAGTTGACTTTGATCAGAAGACTGTCAGATAGGGGCCGGCCCTGTGGCTTGGTGGTTAAGTGCGCGCGCTGCGATGCTGGTGGCCCGGGTTCGGATCCCGGGTGCGCATCGAGGCACCACTTCTCCGTTCATCCTGAGGCCGAGTCCCACATACAGCAACTAGAAGGATGTGCAGCTACGACACACAACTATCCACTGGGGCTTTGGGGGGAAAAATAAAATAAATAAAATCTTTAAAAAAAAAAAAAAAAGAAGACTGTCAGACAACATTGTGCCCACGCTCTATGAGATAGCAGAACTAAGGCTAGCGTTTTTATGAGTTACAGTAAGAGAGGAAAACAGAGTATCTGTTTCCCCTTCACAGCAAGGCCGCGTAGACGTGGCATTCCGGCGACGTCCTAACACAAGGCAACACTACAAGAAAACTTAAGGCAGAAACTGCCCTAACTTCAGTATTGGGAAATGGACAGTGACATAACTTGTACTGAGAGGAGCTCTGAAATGTCCTGACAAGCATAGGCTAAGGAATTCTGGGTGATTTCCCATAAGGCAGTGCAGACTTTGGGGGAAGTTGGCCAGGGGGAGGGAGGGAATAAGAAAGTGTGGTGGAGACAGTGGGGGACAGGTGCTGGACACATTCATTTATTTAAGGCTGATTTTTAAAAGGTAATTCCCTGTTGCTTTTAGGATCAACTCAGTAGTCTCACTTCTTATGGCATTGGAGACTCTCTTCATGGTATTTAGGGAGCCATTTGGGGAAACTGTCTCCAAAGGCAGTTGCTCTCTTCCTGTCACAGCTAGTTCAGTCACCAGGGGAATATCTTGGAGTTAGTTGTAACTAAAGCTGCTCAACTGAAAGTATAAATCCCCACTGCTCCCTTCATGTCTTCATAACCTCATTTAACAAGTATTTTTTGGCCCCATTCTGTGCCGGGTACCATGCTGAGTGCTGGGAATACAGCAGCAAACAAAACCAACAAGAGCCCCGCTCTCCCGGAACTTTCCACGTAGCGACTGGCACTGAGACAAAGGCAGGCAGATATAAGGCAGCATGATGAACTCATTTCCGGGAAAGCACAGGACACAGCACTGTGGACCACATGGCTGGTGCCCCCACACCATCAGAGGGTGGCAAGGAGAGCCTTCCAGAGAGTCTAGAGACTCAGGGATTCAGATTTGAAGGCTGCTTAGGAGTGAGCCCCATGAAAGGGCAGAGGAAAGTAGAGGCTAAACAGGCAGAGGAAAGGCTCCAAGATGAGAGCACCTGTGGCCCATGGGAGTAGCTGAGACAAGTTCTGTTTTACCAAGGGTCCACCAGATTTAGGGGGTAGATCACAAGGCTGGGCAGTGAGCAGGACCAGGTCACGCAGGGCCTTGTCCACCTTGTTAAGAAGTTGACAGTAGGCAGTGGGAACCCACTTAAAGGGTTCAAGCAGAACAGTGATGTTGTCAATGTACATTTTAGAAAGATTCTGGCTACAGAATGAAGAATAGATTGGAGGGGAACAAGAAAGGAGGTACAGGAACTAATTTGGAGGTAGTTTCTGTACTCCTCATGAGAGATGACAGTGACATAACTCTGGGGTATTCAGTGGGAATGGAGAGAAGTGGATAGATTCCATTAATATTTTGGAAAGAGAACAGACAGAACTTGAAGACCGATTGGGAAAGGAGGGTGAAATTGGGAATGACTCTTCGGTCTCTGGCTTGAGTAACTGAGTGCATAGTAGTACCACTCACTGAGATACAAAACACAGTGGGTAAAGATATTTTGGGAGTGGGAATGGAGATCGAGGTAGGATGATGGGTTAAATTTATAGTCTTGAGCAGCTTGACGGACACACACTTGGGTATTGGGATCCAACACTTAGATCTGGGCTGGAGCTATGGTTGTGAGTCATTTACACAGACATAGTGGCTAGACCACAGAGGTGTATAAGATTGCTCAAGGAAAGTGCATCAAGAAGAAGGCTGGGGGCTGGCCCCATGGCTTAGCGGTTAAGTGCGTGCCCTCCGCTACTGGCGGCCCAGGTTCCGATCCCGGGCGCGCACCAATGCACTGCTTGTCTGGCCATGCTGAGGCCACGTCCCACATACAGCAACTAGAAGGATGTGCAACTATGACATACAACTATCTACTGGGGCTTTGGGGAAAAAAAAGGAGGAGGATTGGCAATAGATGTTAGCTCAGAGCCAGTCTTCCTCCGCAAAAAAAAAAAAAAAAAGGATTAGCATGGATGTTAGCTCAGGGCTGATCTTCCTCACAAAAAAAGAAAGAAATAAGAAGAAGGTTGGGATAGAACCTTGGAGAATAACTACATTTAAAAGAGTGATAGAGGAAGATGAGTTTGCAAGGGAGAATGAGAAGAAGCAACCAGGGAGGTAGGAGGGAAAACAGGAGACTATATTTATCATAGAAACTAAGAGAAGAAAATGCCTCAGGAAGGCTCCATAGTGCCAGCACTGCTAAGAGATCCAGTTGGTTAAGGACTGAGAAGTACCTGTAGAATCTGAACAATGAGGAGGTTATAGGAGACCATGGAGAGAAAGTGTAAGTGGAGAGATGGAAGCAGGAGCCTGATTAGAGTGGCTTGAAGAGTGACTAGAAAACAAGAAGTTGGGGCAGTAAGTGAAGTAAACTCTTTCAGTAAGTTTGTGAATTGGCAGTCGGCATAGACTAGTAGAAATGGGAAGGAGATGTGGGGTGGGGACTATTTAATAATTGTTTTCAAAGACAAAGAAACTTGAACACATTTCGGTGCTGATGGAAGGAGCCATATACATTAGAGGCAGAGGTCAGACCCCAGAGAACCTCGTCTCTTAGAAAGAAAGAAAGCAGAAGGGTTACAGATGCATGTTCTGAGGGATAGTCTTAAACCGAAGTACATGTTATGAGGGATAGTCTTAAACCAGGACTTAAACCTTTCCTCCACTTTAATGGGGTTGTCAATACAAGTAAGTTCCTGTTTTGGTGGCTGAAGATTGACAGATCTGATGGCTTCTCTTTTCTCTTTGAAGGTGGAAAAGAGATCATCTGCTAGGAGAGAGGGGAGAGGCAGAGCTGGAGGAGGGGAGATATGCTACCAAAAAGAAACAAAAAGATAACCAGTTGGGGCCAGCCCGGTGGCACAGTGGTTAAGTGCACGAACTCTGCTTCGGCGGCCGGGGGTTCGCAGGTTGGGATGCCAGGCGCCGACCATCACACCGCTTGTCAAGCCATGCTGTGGTGGCGTCCCATATAAAGTGGAGGAAGATGGGCACGGATGTTAGCCCAGGGCCAATCCTCCTCAGCAAAAAAAGAGGAGGATTGGCAGTGGATGTTAGCTCAGGGCTGATCTTCCTCACAAGAAAAAAAAAAAAAGATAACCAGTTGGCCAGGAATTTTATCGTGTTACCAATCTGGTTTTCTTTTTTTTTTCTAATAGAATTCAGCAGCCAGGTGTGCAAAAACAGATAGTTAGCTCCATGGTACCCCAAATCCAGTTGAACTGGTATTTCCCATGCTATTTCCCATGTATTCCTAAATTTTACTTCCTTCAAAAGAAAGAAAACATTTTCTGGTGCTTTCAGGAATAGTCTCATAATGTTCAACATCTGCTGTGTTGTTGAGCAGCTCTTCTGTATTCAAGGAGTTTCATTCTCAACCCCGTGACCGCCCCTTCTTTTAAACCCTCTAATTCCCTTTCTTGTTTGCCCCTCTCTGTGGCTCTTATGTCCTGCCTGTCATTAGTGATGTACCTGTCAACCTCTCACCTCTTCCAGGGGAGGAATCTAATGTTTAGAGCACCTACTATGTATCAGAGACTTTGAATTGTTTTCACTAATACAGCATCACTAATATCCCCACAACAAAGAGGAGGCGTGTTATTATCCCTACTCTTACCAAAGAGGAAGTGAAAGCTAGGAGAATCTAAGGTCACATGACTACTAAATGACCAAGTGGAGATCAGATCCCAGTCTGTCTGCCTCCAAAGCCCATTACTCTATGCTGTAAGCTCCCAGGGAGCAAGCAATGTCCTGATTCATCATTATGTATCTCATGGGAACTCAAACAGCACTTTGCACATAGAAGATGCTTGGTAAATATTATTGATTTGAACTATGACCTGACTCCCTGAATATCTTTAGTGTTCCGGCATTTTAGGGTATGCCCAACTTTCTCTGAAGAAGCCATTCCACTTTGCTTGGTAAAAAGACATGCTCTTTAGATTCAGCAATGGCATCAAATGTGCTAAGTTTACAATGTAGATAGGAAGATGGCAAAATGAAAGTGGAGTTTGCTTTCCTCCTCTAGACTTTTTAAAATTTAATAATCCCAGCAGGGGGATTGACTCATACTGATAGTGTCAACAAAGAAACCACCCAACACAAAGAACCTCGCAGTCACCATAAGAGATTAACAGAAGCGACCAAATTCCAACTGAAACCATCCTCTTTTCATTTTTCAGGAGTATAACATGTATGGCTGGTGGGTCGGAGAACTGAACAGCCTCATTGGGATTGTTCCAAAGGAGTATCTCACCACTGCCTTTGAAGTGGAAGAAAGATGAAGCCCAGGTATCCAATTACCAGTGGATTTGTTGTTCATGCCTTCGTTTCTCTGTGAAGGATGAGATTTGCCAGTGCAGTAGCTTTTCTTCATTTCCAAAAGTGATGCTAATGATGCACCATTGAAAGAGGATGGGTCTGAAAGTGTTTTTCCTAAATTGAGGGCTGTGTCAGTTAGGATTAGGTCCAACTACATGTGACAGACAACTCAAAATAACAGTGATTTAATTAACATAGAAATGTATTTTTCTCTTCTGTAAAAATCTGGAGGTGTGTGATCCAAAGTATCTAGGTCCTAGGCACCTTCTCTTTTTGCTCCACTGTGTTTGGCCAACATTCCCAAGGTTACCCCGCAGCCCAAGATGGATGCTCCAGCTATCATGTCTGTATCCTACGCAGCAGGAAAGATAAAATGAAAGGAGATGGGCGCATGCTCTCCTTTTAAGGACACTTCACAGATGTTCCACATACCACTTCTGCTTACATTCCATTGGCCAGACACACCAAGTTGTGTCCAGCATAAAAGTGGAAAGGGGGTTCATTAATAAATAAAAAGGAGAGATGAGGCTGGCCCGGTGGCATAGTGGTTAAATTTGCACGCTCTGCTTTGGAGACCTGGGGTTCGCAGGTTCGGATCCCAGGCGCAGACCTAGACACAGCTCATCAAGCCATGCTGTGGCGGCATCCCACGTATAGAATACAGGATGATGGGCACAGATGTTAGGTCAGGGCCAATCTTCGTCAGCAAAAATAGGAAGAATGGCAACAGATGTTAGCTCAGGGCTCATCTTCCTCACACACACACACAAAAAAAATGGAAAGATGGATATTGGGGGACAGCTAGGAATTTTTGCCACAAGGATGGCTCTGGGTTTCTTTATCGCCAGCTCTCAAATCCAGGGCGCCATTTCTCCCAAATGCCCATATATTACAATATGGTTGGCCAAGATTAGGAATCCAGTATGAGGATTCCTGTGGAACATGATCAAATTTACTTTTAGGTAATAAGAACATGGCTTGCATTTCATGAGCAAGAACCATATCACATTTTAAAACAGTGGAGTGAGTGCTTGCTTTGGGTGGGGTAACCATAGGAGTTGCTTTGGCGCAGAGTGGGCTTTGTTTAGAATTGGGGGATGATGGAGGGCACCCAAGGCTAGCATGACATCACTAGCTCCATCTTCCAGCCTGAAATAGGAGCAGCCTTTATTGCTGGGGGTTAAGGATGATGTGTGACAGTGATACAAGCCGTCCTTGGCATCTTCCAGACCAGGGCCCACTCTAGTGTGCAGCAGCAGCTGAGTGGATTCATTTAGGAAAATACATAAGGATAGATCTTACTCTCCGATGCCCTTGTACAAACATGAAGCACCAGCTCGGGCCTGTTGCTCAAGGTCCGACTTGATGACTTTCCCACTGAGGACTCCATTTCCTGGCCATGAAAGCAGAAGGGTGGAATTTTTCTGTCAAATCTAAACAAATTCACCCTGTTTCCCTCTGTCGTTTATTTAATGACAGAGTTGTTTATCTCCCCATTCTCTTTGACCCAACAGTTCCACATCTGGGAGCTTATCCTACAGCTACACTTGCGCACACGCAAATGATGTACACACAAGGCTATTCGTCTGTAAGAGCAAACCACTGGAAATGACCTAAATGTTCGATAGAGACCTAGTCAAATAACTGCAGTACATTCATAGAATTGAATACGATGCAACAGTGAAAAAGAAAAGGAAGCTCTCTGCACTCATGTGGCACACATTCTGAGATATGCTGGTAAACAAACAAACAAAAAAAGCAGTGAAGAAGGGTAGGCCTAATATGCTCCATTTGTGTAAAAAGGGAGTCTCCAATTACTTAGATATGCAGGCGATATCTCTGAAAGGAGAAAGAAAATGATAACATGGTCCTCTCTGCAAGGACAGAGACACTGCATGACTGTGAGACAGGGTAGGAGGGAGACAGTTTTACTCTCTGCCCTTTAATACCTTCTGTATTTTGAATCATAAAAGCAAATTTATGTCTTTTTCCTCCTTTAGGACACATATCCTTCTCTCTATCCTGCCTTTATGAAGAAACTTGATCATCAAGAGCCGCACTCCCCACCCCTGCCGCCCCACCAGCACCACAGACCCCTCCCTTTACTGACCCTGGGCTCTGACGCCTTGCAGTGACTGTAAACCACCAATAAGACGAGTAGGAAGAGGCATATTCGGCAAACCTGTTACTAGACCTGCGTTGTCATCGCTCATCCCATCTCTAAACGTGTCCCCACATCCACTTCTCCCTTTTCCACAGGCTTGTCACAGAGAAGGTGTGAGAGAAGGAAACTCTGGAGGAGGAAGTTGCTGGTTGTTTCGGCTGGTTTGAAAAACACAAATAAACTTTCGATTTGGTTCCCTGCCACGTGTGATAGCGTTGACTTTCTTTTTGCAATGGTATCAAAATGCTGGTTCTGGGCATTCTCGCCACCTCCAAACAAAGTGGGAAGGATGAGCCAGAGAGAAAACAAAAGCCCAGGGAGAGAAGGGGACCTGCAATTCTCTCTCAGGGCAGAATCATCTCTGGAACCCAGGCCTGCTGGTTTCTGGTTGGCTTCTCAGACTTCCTTTGGGTGCCTACTTAGTTATTTTTTTCTCATGTGCTGACTCTCTGAAATGAGATGGGGGGTAGAGGCGAGTCCTTGGGGTCAGCATATTGGAGAGTTCCTTTTCAGGCCTCAGTTAACAACCCCACTGTGTCCTGCACCACCAGTCCCAGATAGGGGCCAAGGAAGTGCTTTGGGGAGGACTTGCGTATGAACAGCCCGGTTTCCTGTTCCTGTTGCCTGTACCTAGCACTCGGGGTATCTGTGCCTTGAAGAGGCAGCAAAACATGATGGTTAAGAAGATGAACTCTGGAACCAGACAGCCTGGTAATAAATCCCAGTTCCCCGTTGACTACGTATGTTCTCTAAAGCAAGTTACTTGACCTTTCCTGCCTCAATTTCCTCACCTTAGAATGGGTCTACGCCATCTCACTGGGTCATTAGGAAGATTAAAGGAGTTAACATGTGTAATTTACCTGGAACAGTGCCTGGCTCATAGTAACTGCTCAATAAGGGTTAGCTGTTATCATCGACTGACTACGTGAGTAATTATGACAGACGGACAGACCGCCTATTCAGAGCGGTCCTGGATAGGCAGTAGCCTTCTTCACCTCTATAACAACCATATGATAGCCCCGCAGTCAGACACCCATTTCACATCACCGAAAGAGAGAAACCAGGGAACCATCAGGGATGTTTTCAGTGGATTCCAAGTGTTGCCAAGGATCCTATACCAGTTATTCATTTCCAGATTTTCTGACCCAGGAATAAAAAAAGGAAGCTTTTTGTGTATGTGATGGATAAAGAGGTAAGAAAAGGGGACAATTTAGGACTGAGAGGGAAAAAAAGAGTGAGATAAAAGGCAATACAGAACTGTCTATGACGTCCCCTCCACTTTACACAGGGTGCTAAAGGAGAAGTAACCACTAGGTGGCAGCATATGAGCAGATGAACCGAAGAGAACCAATTGCCTCCCATTTTAGGGACCTTTACACCAATCCCAACCTACAGGTAAGGACAATGGGCATTGTTCTAAAGTGTTTAACAGAGGGAGAAAACAGAAACCCTTTTCTTGGTCCCTCCCTGGAGAACGCCGAGGGGCCCAAGTCTGGAAGGTTGGGTGGCTAAGAGGAGAGAATACCATTGTGCCACTGCTCTGTGACTGAGAGACACCAGAAAAGGGGATACTAGAAGAGGAAGAGTAGGTGTCTGAGGCAGGGTCAGGAGGAGGATAAAAAAGAACCAGGTCAAGGTAACTTCTCCAGGGCCGGCCCCTGGCTTAGCGGTTAAGTGCACGCGCTCCGCTGCCGGCAGCCTGGGTTCGGATCCCGGGTGCGCACCAACGCACCGCTCCTCCGGCCATGCTGAGGCCGTGTCCCACATACAGCAACTAGAGGGATGTGCAGCTATGACAGACAACTATCTACTGGGGCTTTGGGGGAAAAAATAAATAAATAAAATCTTTAAAAAAAAAAAAAAGGTAACTTCTCCACACTCTTCACAGTTCAACGTTCTCTCAATAGCATGGCCATTGGCTTCCAGCATTTAAAACAAAATCCCCTTAGCGCAATATTCCCTTCTATACCTGTAGACCTGAGGAAACAACCATTTGCCCATCTGCAAAGGTCTTCTGGCACCTCTATCCACTGCAGGGTAGGCACCACAGTTAGACCTCTAGCCCTTCGAGCTGTAAAACTTAGTGGAAAAAGAAATAAGATTGGCCCTAAAAGATATAAACAAATGGACTGATGGGGAATCTGGTCCATAGCCATGTGCCTATCTTTGACATTGTTATATGCAGGAAAAGATAAAGCAAGTTTGATAAACTGATGAGACTATCTACAGGCTGAAGGGCATTCTCGCTAGGGGAAGGTTCTCAAGGAGACCTTTCGGAAGCAGTGGATTTCTACAGCCTGTCTGAAGCTAAACCTCACCCAGCAATACTGCTCCTCACTCAATTCAACAGCCACCATCTCAGCCAACAGCCTCAGAAAGCAACTGGCTAATCAGATTACCACTTCTCTGTCTGACTCCACTAACCAAATGCCCACCTTACTGCCTGTGACTAACTGGATAACTGGGGCATTAGACCACTTAACTAACCACATTATATGTAGAATGGCTTCTTAATAGGCAGTAATTGCTCTGGCATGTGAAATAGGAGAGGGCTAGAGGTGGGAGACTTTTTCCTTCCTTGATTTTATGTAAAGGAGGGAAAATAAGAAAGCTAAGATCCTAAATTTAAGAAGCAAATATATGTCTACCTTTTACAGATAAATAATAATTTAGACAGAACTCACTGACATCCACTGGATAATCTGACCGGGGGCTGGCACGGTTTGGCCTGCCTTGTCCACACTGATATCTGAGAATATTACATGCTCTGAAAGCAATCTTTCAGCTACATTTCATTAAAAATACGTTTTTTTTCTAGTGTGTTTTCTCTGTCATCCATATAGCAAAATAGCATGGACACTGTTTTGCAATTACCTCAATATTAAATTTTCCCATACGATGGCCTGTCATATCTCTTGGAAATCTGTATTTAATTCAAAACCAACTACATCGTTCCCTCTGGTGAATAAAAACGAGCAAGAGAAGAGAATTCCTATTAGGTCTCATTCCCTAAACCCAGACGGTTTGATTCCATTTAAACGGAGAGCCACGTTAAAAGGCGGAGCTGACTCAATGTCCTCCCTCCCCTTGGAGACAGATACTTGATCTAAACAGAGTACATCAGGAAGAGCCTGGATCTCAGGTTATCTTAACACCTTTTTTTGCACTTCAGCTTGCTCAGTTGCACCACCTTATTTGTAATCAGGATCTGAAAGGTGGTGACTTGGACAAAAACCACCCAAAAGCTGCCACGGGCAAGGAAACGAAACGAAAGACTCTCGAAATTCTCCGTCTGCTGCTTTGCTCATTCAATCACTCGAGTTCTGCAGTTAGACACCTCCAGTGACACATTTTCAAAATCCACATTTCATGCCAGTTGCTTGCATCACAATAAAGCAGTGGTATAAATGCCAAGAGCAAGATAACGCATGGGTTGGGGGAAGGGGGGAAACACTCCTGCCATTAAAAACCAGTTTAGAAAAATGGAGTTGAAGAGAGGAAAGAAAAAAAAAGAAAGACAGAAACTGAAGTATGTTCTCTTTTTTTGCATCTTAGGAACAAGACTCTCAGATGCCAGGGACAGAGGTACTTCAATCTTTGGCCAAAAAGAAGCCCTCCCCGCAGGTCTCCTCTCCAGGAGCCGCGCTGTAAGGAGAGATCTTGAGTGGCCCTGATTTGCTAATTCCCAGAGCACCAACAAAATCTGTGGAGCTGACTTGAGAAAAGCAGCCATCCACACAGAGGATTATCCCTGCTACACAGCCCAGTGACTCCAGCTAATTTTCTAGTTTGTGGATTACCATAGTCCCCTACTCCTCCGCCTTCCCTCCTGCCTAGCTATTTCATTTCCCATTAGAATTCACAGAGATTGGGTAGGGAGTTTGAAACTTACAAAAGAGATTTTTCTTCTTCAAGGGATTTGAATTAGTCTCCCTATAAACCTATCAAAAACTGTTCAGAAAACATGCTGTTTTTTTTTTCGTTAGTATGAATCCACCATTCTTTTGCAACTCTTTGAGATTCAATTAATGATACATTTTAGGATACAGCCCATTTTGTACAAAAATCTTTTACAAATATAATGCCTCCCCTAAAACTACTGTATTAGAGAAAACCAAGGTACAATTAATAGGGTGACCATATAATTTATTTTTCAAATGGAGCACTTCTAAGATTGAAAGAGGGAGTTATTAATAATGATGCCAAGACCGCAGGTGTAAACTGGGATGAGTGGTCACTCTAAAAATAAGGCAAAATGGGTTGCCCAGTCACCAAGGGAGTAGCGGGTAGATAGAGAGATCACCTGGCTCTCCTGGTACAGGGGTTGGCAACGTCCCTTCTAATGAAGTCCTCTCCCCTGCAGGCCTGGTTCCTAGGCAGACCCTGCCAACTACGCTTTCTTTTGCTGATGCCCAGGCTGTTGTGACAGGCCCGGTGCCTCTGGCATCAAGCTGCTTGTGGGGTTGGCGGGTTGTCAGCAGCTGTGTGTGCTCAGTTCCCTCATGGGGGCCCCCCATCACAGCCCACCACCCCTCCACCTGGCAGAGTGCCACTGAGGGAAGCATTTTTGTGGCACTGGGCAATAGTATGCCACTTCCTTGCCTCCTGTTTTGGGAGTGAGTTCCAAGAGGCTTCTAGTGCTGGTCCTCAGAGCGCATCTGGTTCCACTGTAGACGTTCTTGACCTGATGGTGAGCAGCTGGCCACCTTTTACCCCACACATCCCATCATGGAACAGAAAACAGGCTGCAAACACTTCCCTTTTACCACGGTCAGACACTCTGGCATTGCTCTGCCTTGAATCACCAAGGGGGCACCCCCTACATTTCCTGGATGCCTCCCATGAGTACCCTGCTAGGCCTGTCACTAACATATCCCACCTCTGGGATAAGCGCCTGGCATCTGGAGATTTGAGATCATTTCTTCAACATCTCCAAGGCAGTGCAGTAAAAGTTTAGGGCGGCAGAACTTGGAGCTTATTACTTCACTCTGTTAGTGCAAGGTTTCTCAACTCGGCACTGTTGACCTTCTGGGCCAGAAAATTTTATGTTGTTGGGGGCACTGTTCAGCAGCATCACTGGTCTCTACCACTAGATGCTAGGACTGCTCTCCCCAGTTCTGACCACCAAAAATGACTCCAGACATTGCCAAATGTCCCCTGGAATAAAATCACCCCTGGTTGAGAACCATTGTCTCAGGGCA